CCTAATTTCATGTATATACCATGACTTTATTTATTAAACACCATTGGTCATTTAAAATGTAATAAAACCTAACAAAAGCAAAGCTGGGGTTCTGCAGGCCAGCAGACTGGCAGACTTTTAATGAGGTCTGAACCAGATGAAAAAAAAAACAAAAACAACCAACAACAAAGCAAATAAAAATTCACTACTTTATTTATATACCTTGGACTTTCTACCTACAGGTGCTACAGTCCAGTCTGGTGTGTATCTGGTGCTCTGTCATGTTTGGTGTGTTCATTTTTAGATTTGTTTTTTTTCCTCTTCTTTTCACCCCAGACCCCTTTTTTCCTGTTTTGTACAGATTTTGGAGACATACACTTCAATACACTTTATTATCTCAGTGGTCTCTTTTTTCCCCCCCCTTTTTTTTTTTTTTAATAGAAAAATGGGGGGTTTTATCCTTTTCTAATGCAATTTTAGGAAAACACCAGTTCTATAATTATATCAAATTTGTATTCTGAGGGGCAGAAGTTTCATTGTAAATTCTTTTGATTGTAAAGAAAAAAAAAATATACGGAGTTTAACAAAAAGTTCTGTCTTTCCATCTCCAGCACCAGCCCCTAAAACTGCCTCTCTCTTGTGGGGTAGCCCTAAAATTCACCTTCCTGTGCTCTCCCAGTGGTGCAAATTGCTCCAGATTTTATTTTCCCTGCAGGTGAGTGGCCCTGGAGGCTCCTGAAGACCAGTGCATGATTTCCTTTGCACCCTCAGCCTCAGGAGCTCTGGGGTTGGGAGATGCTGTGCTGGGCTCTGGGAATCACTGCCTGTTTCAGCATTCCAAGGTTTGCACTTCCAGCTGCATCCATGCTCAGTGCCAGTCACCCACTGCCCATCAGGCAAGGGTGATCTGCTGGACACTTGAGCATCTGCCTCTCAAAATCTGCTGGAGACCAGAGATTCTTTCCCACAGCATTTGGAAGAAAAAAAATCTGATTTTTACTGAAATTCATGATTTTTCTGTTCTATTAACAATGGAGTTCAGTTCTGATTTTTTTCCCTTACAAAACCTTCCCCCAGACATATCCCTGGTAATATATTTCCAGAATTTACTATGAGGAAATGTAATATTTACCTAATTAAGAGCTTGGATTTCTTTTTAATGGGGTTGCATTTCACCTGAGTTTCTCCTGTTGCCTGTCACTTGAATCATCAAAACCAAGGAATATTTTGAGGAACAATTGCAACCAATTCACTGCCATGGCATTTGGATAAACAAACTCCCAGTTTTCCCTTCCTGGGACCTTTTCCTGTGTGCTTGACCCTGAGCTGTGGTGGTGGCTTCCGTGGGGAGGACAAACTGGAGGTGACAGCATCACTGCCACAAAAAAACCTGGGAATTTCAGCTCCACCACCATCCTCTGACATCAGGAACAGCCCCTGGAACATACAGACATCCCTCAAGGCACCACGGGGCTGTCCCACCAAAATGAGTTGGGAAATTTGGAGCCGGAGGGTTGAGAACCACGTGTGAAGTGATGGGCAAAGGCCTGGCCTGAGGCTGGCTCAGCACTGGAGGAGGATCCCTGTTTGAGCTAGAGAAGAATCCCAGCCTGGGCATTTTCAAGGAAAACAACCTGCCAAGGCCACCACAGAATGAGAGGAACCTTCTGCACATCTTTGATCCACCAGCTGCAACTTGGGCTTCCACTTACTGGGAACCTTTGCATGGAAAGCGAGGTGTTCCCAACAAAATGGAGCAAGGAGAAATCCATTTTGGCATGACTGAGGGAAGAATTTGGTGACTCCTCACTTCCAAATGTTGTCCTTATATTTTTCCATTCCCAGCTTATTTATAGTGCTTGTTATCCCCACCATGTCCATGGGGGTGCCTCTTGTACATCCTGAGTTTCTCCAGGAAAGAAAAGATGTTTCCAGTCCAGAGTAAGTAGCAGCAGTCCTAAATGAGTTGGGAACTGAACCAACAGAGCATTTATTTAACTGGGTTTTATTGCATGACACGTCAGTCCAGATGTCACAAAATAACTTGGAAACAATCAAACACACAACGTTTGAAAGAACATTTTTAAACTTAAGAATAAAAAAAGAAAAAAAAAAAAATTAAAATTTTTATGGTAGAATTTTTCTTGAATGAACAAAGTTTAACTTTGTTTTCCAGGGGAAACTTCACTGAAATCAGTATGATTTCATATGTATGCATACACACAGAGTTTTATTGAAACTGCTTTTTCGGATGAATTCCTGTTTTGACAAAATATCTGACCAGACCTTTCTCAATCAACCAGCATTACTGCACCTTTTAAAAACTTTGTGAACCTTTTCTCTGATTGTAAACTCAGCCTGTCTCGTGGCTCAGTGGGACCAGAGGGAGATCCCCATCCCAGCGACCGAAGGAATCTCTCGGCTCTCTGCACACCAACTGTGTCATCTACACAACAAAATCATTTCAATTTTTGTACTGACGTGGTTTGAAGCTTGCCTGCCCCCAGGGTCTGTAAGTGTAGGAGTGATGGTTCAGGGCTGTGTCACTGCTGGGAGGGTGGTGACCCCAAAACACACACAAAATGTCATTTCTGTGTGTGGAAATGCACAGCTGAGTTCCCCCTGAGCTCTCTTCCCTGTTCTCTAGGTGGTGGAAACAGACTGCAGTTACCTAACCCAGTTCTTTCTCTGCTTTGGGGACTTGTAGACCAGTTTTTAATTTTGGCTTTTTTTCCTTGTTTTGAAAGGAATGATTTTATTTTTTTAAAGCTAGGGTTGGAGCTGAGGGGAAGGGATTGGGGCATGAAAAAGACAAACCACAATCTTTTTAGTACTGGATTTTAAATTCTCAGTCTCTTCTAAACCATGAGCAGTTACCACTAGGGCTAACTGTGGGCAGGCTCTGCATCAGTAAAGAGAAATTTAGGATTCCTTACACAGCAGCATTATCTTGCTTGAGCTGCATTTTGTAAAGAAAATGGTATTTGCATATCTTTTTAAAATGTCATTTTTAAAAAAATAAATTAAACCACCAGCTAGGATTTGACACAGGACACTTAGAAAACTGCCCTGATACTGGCATAACCAATCCAGAAAGATCTGTTGCTGTATTTTTTTTGTTATTTTGGTTTTTTTTTTTAATATTTAAAAAGAAAAAAAAAGAAATTGTTACTTTTCTGTATGATGTGCATGCAAATTTACCGTAACTCTTTTTCTTAAAACTTTTTAGTGCCATTTCTAGTATATTCCCGTAAATGTCAGTTATTGAAAAGAAATGAGTCAATGTAAGTAGTTTAGCTTGTTTATTGCAAATTGCTGGCCTCAAACAAAATAGAATTAAAAAAAAAAAAAAAAAAAAAAAAAGAGTTAGAAAGTAATCTTTGATGTTACTGGTAATCACAGACCCTGGTGCTGGGGCATTCATTTTGTTTTCATAATAAAAAGAAAAATTGTTTGGTGTGTGCGGTTTGATCCCATGTTTTCCCCTCCCCTCATCTTTTCCAGGTGTGGCACTCAAACCTGGACTGAGCAGTGCCAGGAGCCCAACATCAGGATATTGAATCCTGGTGCCACGAGTCCTGGAATAATTTGGAAGTTGTTTTGGGAACAGCACACCCAAAGGGCCGACTGCCTTCAGAATAGGGGCAGCCCCTGGCATGGCCTGGAATAAAACTGCTTTAAATCCTCTTTTTTGGGGTGAGGGAAATTCAGCTGCTCCCATGTCCCAGGGCAGCCAAGGAAGGGCTTGAACTCTTCTCAGTATCCAACAGTCTGCAGGGGCTTAAATTCAGTGGGAATTGCTCCTGGTTGAGGTAAGTTGGGCTGAAGGGAGATGAGATTTCACCCAGGTTTGCTGCTGAAGCCACCAGGACAAGCAGAGGAACTTTGTCACCTGCTCCAGCAGCCAGGGCTGGCTCTGGGAGCTCAGGGTGACCTGGAGGGCCCAGCTTGGAAAGGGGGGGCCTAGAGCAGCTGGTCCCTGTGCCAGCAGAGTCCTGGCATTGCTGTGTGGGGGCCAGGATCTATTTTGGTAATGGGGGAGGGTTTGGGTTGGTTTTGCTGTTTGGTTTGTGTCAGGTGGGGTTACTGCAGCCAGGGTTAATCTTTCCCTAACCCTGTTCCTGCTCACTGCCTTTCCAAGCCAGCATCTCCAAGGCTTCAGCAAACCTCTTCCACTCTGCTGCTGTACCAGTGACACTGCCACAGGGCTGTTCAACCTAAACAATCTCCTGTGAGGCAAGTGAGGATGTTTCTTTAGCGTTGACAGGTGAGTTATTTCTAGGGACAGCAAAAAGAGCTTTTTCTGCAGGCTGGGAGGAGGTTGAGGACATACAGGACATGATTGAGGTTCAGATCTCACTGGTCATGCCTTGAATCCTGGGGCCAGGTGTGTGAGAGGGGCTGGAATGAGGCCAGAGAAGGGAGCAGAGCTGGGGAAGGCTCTGGAAAGTCTGTCCTGTGAGGAGCTGAGCTGCTGAGGGGACTCAGGTGTGAGGTGAAGGAGGCTCAGGGGTGACCTTGCTCTCTACAGCTGCCTAAGCAAGGGTGTGAGGTGGGGTTTGGTGTCTGCCAGGACAGAAGGGAACAGCCTCAAGCTGCATCAGGGGTGGTTCAGGTTGGACATGAGGAGCAATTGCTTTGTGGAAAGGGTTGGGCATTGGCAGGGGCTGCCCAGGGAGGTTTGGAGTTCCCCTACCTGGAGGTGTCCAAGGAAGGCCTGGACATGGCACTTGGTGCTCTGGTGACAAAGTGGGGATTGGTCACAGGCTGGATGTGAGAATCTCCGAGGTCTTTTCCAGTTTAATTCCCGGATTCAGTGTGACATCTTGAGGCTTTCCTTACCCTGAGAGTGCTGCTGGCCTTGGGGAGCTGGAGGAGCCTCCCCTGCAGCTCCCAGTGCAGAGGTGTGGCTTGGGAGCCCCACCAGTAACTGAGGGAATTCCTCCCTCCCAAGTGGGGAATGCCAGAAGCTGTCACCTGTGCCAGAGGACATGCAGGGGAAGAAGAGCCACTCACAGAGCTGCATTCAAATCATTTTAATGCACTTTATCAAAGAGGCTACAACAGTGTTTAAACAAGTGCATCACACAGCTGGCTCACAGCCACAGCAGCCACTCCACAACCCTGCTGTGACCAGTGACATACAGAAATGGAAAACTACAGTCACATTCACAGAGATGGAAGGACAACTCATCCTCTTCTTCCTGCACTGTCACATCCAGCCTCCATCCTGAAAGAATTTATGCACATTCTTACGGGTTTAGTCTCGTATAGTCCAATTAACACTCTGCAAAATAACTGAATTTTGGTTTACCAGCCACGTTAACAAAAAGAGACTGATTATACCCAAAATAAGCATCTTCCTTACTGAAATTCAAAAGAAAATAAGTGTTGGATTTCTTTTTTCTATAAGAAAAGAAAACGAACAGCTGGTTTGGGGATGTGCTGTTCCTTAAACTCCCAGAGTTCACGTGCTCCCCAGGGCTGGCCTGGAACCCACCTCTCCTGCTTCTCCAGGTGTATCCACCTGCAGTTCCCAGGGGAGCTCTGGGCACAGCCTCCTGCCTGTTTGAACAAATAATCTGTTCACTCAGCCAAGACCTGGAGGCCCAGGTGGGTCACACATCCCTGGCAATGCTCCCCCGGCACCTTCCCGAGCCTCGCTGGGTTTGTGAATCTCATTGAACGCTTTCACCCGGCTGAAAAACATTTATTCACTGAATTGTTTCTCCTCCAGAGCTGGTCCTGACAAAACCAAGAGGGTTATTTGTGTGCAGAGCAGTGCAAAGCAGCGAGGTCCAGCAGGTTTAAATCTATGAGCACACACACAAGGTATCAAACACCAACACATGCAGAAATAGTGCTTTTAAAAAACAACGAGCTGCCTATTGTTTGCAGTGCTATGGAGCAGGGCTGAGTACACCAAACCTCTATGATTTCACTCTAGAATAGGTGTGTTCTGCTCACTACAATGAGTTCAGCAAGGTTGAGTGTCTGTGTGTTCATTGTAGCATTTCACCCACACGGGAGAGGAGGAAGAGATTTTTCAATGTATTTTAAAAAAAAAAATTAAATAAGTAAAGTGCTTGAAAAAAATGCAAGGGAGCTTTTAGATAAATAGAACAGAAGTAATGACTGTGCCTAATAATAGGCAGGTAAATAATCCATCCTGAAGCTGACATCAAATACTGATTTGCCTGGAGCTAAGCCTGTGCCCAGGCACTGCTGGGTTGGACACATGGCCTAGGCAGGACAGAAAGGGCAGAACCCTGAAGAAGAACTTCGATGCTGAACCCTGGGCACATCATTTGCACCCCTGGAAGTGATAGTTTTGTTTTTAACAAAGATTCAGGTGCTTGCTGGGCTGAGTTTCTCAATGTGATTTTGCCTTGAGCAAGTCAGGATTCAGCAGAAACTTAAACCTGAAAGCAGCAGCCTCTATGCCCAAGCAAGGCCATGTTTTTCCCTCCTAAAATCCTCCAGTCAATCAAAACAATCCCAGACACAACTTCTAAAATACATGCACCAAACCTACAATCCAACCTGAACTAGAAGTCAAACCCTTCCAAGCTACTGCATGCATTAAAACTTGAAGGCAAAGCAAACTCCAGTGGCCTCTCTCCTTCTGTACCCCGTCTCAGGAGCGGGTCTGTGCTGTGTAGGAGTTTCCTTGTGCCCTTTAGGATATGTCTGTATTTACAGGGGTTTCTTGCTGTTGCTTTCCTGGGCCTGTCCCTCCCTTTCAGGTGCTTCACTGGAGGATCTGTTCCTGAAGCTGGGCCAGGGATCTGCCTGAAAGGAGTCAGCTCCCCTGGCTCCACAACTCCCGTTATTTCCATGATCCTGCACTGTGGGGTCAGAGAAGGCCCTTTGCTTTGTGTGAAACTCCAGCACACCTTTCCTACCAGGTGTTTTGAAGGCTGAGATTAAATTCTCAACACATTCTCTCCCTGTTCCCACAATAAACCTCTCCATTCCCTAGCTGGAAGAGACGACATCAGAGCAGCAATCAAAGGAAGACAGGGCAAACAGAACAAGAACGGCCAGATGGTTTTGGAGATAAACTTCTTAAAACCACAGCCTTGATGGGAAGAGATCTGTACTTGCCTCTGTCCCACCAGCATTCCCAGAGCTCTGGAAATGCACCAGGACTGGCCAGGAAGGGTGGCTGGGGCCGGTGCCCAAGTGTCGGTGGGTGTTTCTCAGGGCACACGAGCCACTTACAAGCAACACATGGTCCAGCACAGCCCCTGCCAGGATGCTGGGCAGCAACAGGCTTGAGAGCTCCCCAGCAAGAGGTTTGTTGTACACACTCAGTGCCATGCAGAATGGGAGTCCATAAGCAGCAAAATCAAACAGAAACAATCAAACTTCAGCCTCTCCCAGCCTCTCCTGGGAACGCTGCTTCCTGTGAAGGGCTGGGAGAGGGTGGTGCACACCCACCTCCCCCAGCTCTGCTTCCTCTCCACGCGTGAATTCCTGTGGGGAATTACATAATAGCACAAAACTTGGACTGCCCCGTGTCCCTGGAGACATCCAGCTTGTTTTTGTCCCGCACCAGGATGGCTTCGTTGCCGTACTGCGAGTACCACATGCTCCTGCTGCGGCTCAGGTAGGTGTTGGGGGGAGCCGACTCCAGTTTCTGCTGCTGCTGCTGCCAGATGAGCAGAGAGGTGTCCCTGTACCTCAGGCGGGCGTAGCCCTCGGACAAGGCTTTCTCGGGCAGGGGCACCCTCCCGTTCATCACCGTGTCACTCATCTGCCCGAGGAGAGCTCCACCAACAGGAGCTCCTTCCCGGCAATTCCGAAATAAACCCCGCTGGGCCTGGCCAGGTCGACGGCTGCTGCTCGGAGCTCAAGGGAGAACATCCCAGGGGACAGCTCTTGGGATCCACGAGCTGCTGGCACCACTCAGGACAGGGAGCAGGGCCCTAAAATCACAGCAGGCAGCTTGGCCTTGCTTAAAAACCACGGCAGGACTTCTGAGAGCTTATCCAGCGGTGCTACTGCTGCGCGTTCCAGGCTGGCAAGGGCCCACACGTGCCGTTTGTTGACAGCGCATGAAGCATCTCCAGGGCTGCGAGCGGCGGATCTGCGGCCAGGCAGGACAGGCTGAGCGGGTCTGGAGGAGCCCAGTTCCCTGGAGAAGGGAGCCAGAAGGCGTGGGGAGGTCAGAGGCCGGAGTTCAGGGTGCCCAGGCCCGAGCATGGGCTCGGCCGGGAGCCCGGCACGTCACGCGCATCCCAGGGATGCAGGGATGGAGAAGATGCTGCCCGGCCCTGCCGGTGGTTCCCGAGCGGGGAGGGGGGCCCGGCCCCTCCCGGCGGCACCCGCGGGGCACGGCAGGGTCACCCCACGGGCTGGCAGCGGGGATCCCCGCCCTGCCCGTCCCCCTTTTCGTGTC